ATGTTTGCAAGTATAATTAGATTGCTATTGAATAGGGAATCTGAGAAAGTGAAAAAAAAATTGAAAATGTTTTGTTTTTATATTTTCGCTAGGAGACACTAATAGTGCAGACATTGCATACTCCACTTGCCATCTGCCTTCTTTTATAATGTTTTTCCTCGTATTATTTTTGTAATAATAAGCGAAGCCTGCCGAACACACCCTTGCACGCGGCGGCGTGCGTGATGACGGCAGTGCTTCCGGAAGTGTTGGGGATTGTCGTATTGCTCTTCCAGCGGCTTTGGTAGTGTGCGTCTGTGCCGGTGAGTGAAGATGGCAGAAGGCGGCAAGGCAGATGTGGAGACGCAGAAAGCAGAGATCGCGGCGCTCTTGAAAACGCCGCTGCGCAAAGCAGAGACCTGGTGAGACACACTAGATAACACACACACACACACACACACACACACACACACTCATAATATAACAACTCAAGGAGGACTCGGACCTACTTCCGCGTTCTTCCAATGCTGCGTTTAATGCTGCTATCTAGAAATGTTCTATTTCCCACTTATGAAGTCGCGATTGATTACATAGGGTGACCATATTTGTGACCCTGGAGCACAAAACCAGTCATAAGGGTCAATTTTTCGAAATTGAGATGTATGCATCATCTGAAAGCTGAATAAATAAGCTTTCCATTGATGTGTGGTTTGTTAGGATCTGACAATATTTGGCCGAGATACAACTATTTGAAAATCTGGAATCTGAGGGTGCAAAAAAATCTAAATATTGAGAAAATCATCTTTAAAGTTGTCCAAATGAAGTTCTTAGCAATGCATATTACTAATCAAAAATTAAGTTCTGATATATTTACAGTAGGAAATTTACAAAATATCTTCAAGGAACATCATCTTTACTTAATATCCTAATGATTTTTGGCGTAAAATAAAAATGGATAATTTTGACCCATACAATGTATTGTTGGCTATTGCTACAAATATACCCCAGCGACTTGACACTTGCTTTTGTGCTCCAGGCTCACGTTTTAGTTTTCGAAAAAAGAGGACAGTTGGGGGCAGGATGCTGTTGGGTTTAAACGGGTGTAAAATATTTGAGTAATTTTACTTGAATAAAGTCCAGATCCCCCAAAATAATACTAAAGTACAGTAATCAAGTACAATTTAAACTGACTACTTGTACTTTTACTTGATTACATTTCTGAAGAAACTAGAAAAAAACAGTACTTTTTACTCCTTGCAATTTTATATTATCTTGAAAAGTACATTACATTTTTTTATTTTATCTTATGCACATTAAATATGGTAAACGGAAGCTCAAACGTGTGCTCTTGAGGTGAGAACCAATGAACCAAAGCACACGCATTTCTACTTCATTTATGACTTTAATCAGGTAAATGTCTGGCTTCTAAAGTTCACCATCAAATCTGAGGAAGCATATTAAGGTAGTTAATATATTGGCTGAATGCACAAGATTGAGTGCAAGTAAAATCAGTGATGAGAATTTAAATACAATGAATGTTTTTGTGGGAATTATTTTTTATTATTTCTTTTTTTTATTAAATGTTACAAATCTCAAAAAAAAAAAAAAAAAAGGGTTTAAATGAACATTGTATGA